GTTATGGATTATAAAGATGAAAAGAAATTCCAGTGATGGGAGTTCTAAAACAACTTTCATACTTTGTTTCATGGTTCTTTAAGTTAAAAATTATTTCCTGAATCACGTCTCACTTCCAAATATTGTGTACAAAATAGAACCAAAGCCCAATAACCAAGTATAGGAGCATAGATTCATTAAGAAGCAAATACTCCACTTGAGGATCATGCAGTAAAAACCTTAATGTTTACCTGTACAAAGCTAAGCTGAACATCAATCAAAACCACACTGTATTGGGTAGAGGGGCCCAATCTTAAGTTGTGACAGGATATAAGGGACTATAATCTTTTTCTCACAGGAGGCCAAATAAATGCTGTTTAGACCTCCAGATTAATGAAAAAAATGAACTATCTCATGGAACATAATCCTGAACCTTTTTTTTTTTTGGAAAATTGTAAAGGATCATTGATAAAGAGGGACACTGATCTGAATTAACTATTCATAAAGGCATGTGTACTGATTTGCATACAAAATGTACATTTTTTAGTGTACGTTGATCAGTAAATTTTGTACAATGATAAAACAAACGCCCTTTATGATAAATAGCTCAAAGTCACACTCTCTCTATTGATTAATCCTCTTAGCGCACCCTTTTACAAATTTTCAGCATATTGTTTCCAATAGGAAAGATACAGCTTTTGGGTCTAGATGAACGGGAAAACCTATTCTTTGATTTTTTTTTTTTAATGTCTAATAACAACGATCAAGCAATAATGTATCGTGAAACTTTGTACAAACAAGATAAAACTGATAAATTTCCAAGCATTTCAGGATGAAATAACATGCTGAGTTACTATGTCCACCAACAGCAGCACATTACACAGAATTTGTTGAAATTCCTAACTTGTTATGACTTTTATTTAAATACTAAAAAATTACCTAAATAACTATTAAGGAATCTTTTCAAAAGGAGGTCGAAATGTTGAAAAGTCACTGCTTAAAATAACAAACCTGAGTCACAGCTCACAAATCATAGATTAATTGGATTAAAGTACTTAGACAATAGCAATGCCAAAATTATATCCTTGATCCCAACCGGTCCATTACAATTTTGTTTTACAAGGAACATGTTAATGAGGAATTCAATTTCTTCATATAATACATTGATAGTGACTCATTCAATTTCTCACTCATTCCATGCATTAACAAAGGAAATAAGTACAAGCATGAATGCAAGAAATTTTTCTGATACTTGAACTTGTCTAACAGTAAGCAAAATGGCATGACTTGTTAGATTTGTCAAAGAAGCCTGACTAGCAGAATTGAGAACATAAGTTTTAGTGATTACAACTAAACAAACAAGGTGCGAGCAGTAAAATGTGAAAGCTGAACAGCTTCCAAGTGACCAGACAAAGCATACCTCAGCATAACATTCACAGGAGGATCAAGGTCTCCAATAATGTTTGAAAGTGAATTGTTCTGAACATCACTGGAATTACAATGTGCATAGAGAAAAATTAGTCAGATAGGAAATTACATGACAAGCCCAAGTTCAGATTTCACTCTACAGTTCTTGGAAATTATGGCAGAGATCAATGCAAATCTTCTATTCTACTTCCAGGTCTTACATCAAAAGTCTGGCGGCTGAACTAAAGGATCTGTTTTGCCAGAGATCAACAGTAACTGAACCGGTAAAAAAGTTATTATCAAGGGACCTGCAACATGAAAGCCAGTAAGAAATCCCATTATGAACTTATACTGATTTACTGAATGTTATAAGTAATTCCAAGGTATGTATATGTAAAGTCACTAGAAACACATAAACAATAAAAGTAACATGGTCGAAGAACCTCACAGCTTCTGGAGAAGAGGGAGATAGGAAAAACTTTCAGGAATTGATCCATTAAGCTGATTATCTGACAGAACACTGTACAAGAAATTTTTAACAACCATTACTTCTCATTAATCTAATAATACTATGATAACTAGAAACAGAGACAAACTAAAAATAAAAGAAGAGTAGAGTCAAATTTGCAATTAATTTAATGCTGAGTTTCAAATGTATATTCACTTGGTCCATCCGAAAGGATAAGTTCCTTTCAATTCACTGAAATCAACAAAAAATAACCATGTAATACTCCATACAAGGAAATAATACAACTCGAGTTGCATACATAGTGGTTAGATTGTTGGACAGGTTATTTGGTGTATAGTCCCAGAGAGCTGATTTTGGCTTAGGTCTCTGCAATGGTAGAATGCCAGTAAGTCATTAGATATTCCATAGTAGTTTACAAGCCATACAGAGATAATAAACAAATGAAACTTGCAGTCAAAAAGCAATTAAAGATCAAGGAAGTTAAAAATCAAGCACTTCAAACTATGACAACTGTGAAACTTACAGATAGCTCAGATTTTTATCCAGCTGAGATCAGGAATTGGTCCTTCTAAGCTACAATTTCTGAGACTTCTGTTACATCAGAAGAAATGGTTCAAGTACTGCCAAGTCAACCCAAACAAAAAATACCCTAGACTGTTCTTATATACACTTCAAAACAACACTTTGCAGTGATGTCTAATTTGTGAGATCTAATGGAACAACATGATGTTCCTGGACTAATGTAATAATAGCATCTGTTCAAAATGCAGTAGATACCTGTGCTGAAAGATGCAATTAAAATATTTTAGCCAGAAAACAAGCTATTGCAATGTCATGAAAACACTAAATCTTCTTTCTCGTCGTACAGGCAATACACATAAGTGTGATAGTCTAGGAGAAATGTCCAAAAAAACAAAACAATACTACAGAGACGGTCCAAAGCAGCTTTGTACAGATAAAGAAATTACTTTTGAATAAGCAACAAAGGGACAAAAGTCAAGAAAAATCCTTCAATATATCAAATATATTACCAAAATGGAAAAGCTGAATCATAAAGAAATCCTTCCAATACACAAAAACAAGATACTTCAAGAAAAAGAAATGCATGTTAAGATTATCTTCCTAGTCCTGCTATTAACCTTCCAACTTGAAGTAAGCAGGAAATGTTGGAGGTGGCCTACTCATCTCATGTACCAAAATGAAAGGAAGTTTGACACATCTGGGATGATCTCTAGCATCATCCTCATGTGTGATTCTCTTGTCCACAAAAAGAATTATCAATACAATGATAAAAACTTAAGACAAGAAAACAAACTCAGCATAGGGATTTACTTCCAATATACATGGTGCAAACAAATCAAAGAAGGATGCCCGTCTATATACAGCATCCATAGAAGCTGTCTGAAATCCTTATAGACCTTGAATGAATTACTAGGTGAAAGTCCAGATAGCTTATGTATATTTTTCTTTAGAGCAACAGCACATACAATTTATGGCCATAGCTCTGAAGATATTGCTATGTCAAATTGATCAATCTGACAGGGAAGTAGCATGGGAAGTCCACTGCACAGATGGAGATAAAAAGAAGGCTCTGATTAATGACTTCATTCAAGCTGTGATGAAGAACTGAAATTTATTTTGACCATTCTTAGGACAATCAGTGAATTAGAAAAAATACTCAGCCACATTGAATAACTAATTGGTTCAAAAAATATCAGTTCACTTAAACTAAGAAAACTGATCCAGCTGACTTCATTTGAAGGTTCTTATTCTTAGGTAACAGAATATAAACCCTATCTTACTATTTACTAGGAAAAATCCTCTCAAATATGAACCCGCACCATGCAGGTCTCAAGCCTTGTAAGGTGCTTGAAGTTTGTTCCAAATAGTAGCAAAAAAACATGCTACCGAAGTAAGTCTATTAAGGGGGACAAGCGACAATAACCTGCGGTATTTGCAGAGCACAAGTTCAAATTTTCTGGAACCCATTAACCTCATAGCCTCTAGCATCCCATCATCATAGTGATAGCGCTTCCAAACAATTATGCAAAAAGAAGAAGACATACCACATCTGTCTCATGGACAGAATCAAGGTTCAATAAAAAGTGCACATAAATATTCTCAATCTTTTCTCAATTGAGTTGTTTCGGCTTAAACTAATCATAGCTAAAAAAACCTATAGAAGCTTCTCTAAGCAAGGATCTAATACATGAACTTGCCTAAATGAATGCACATTGTTTAACTAAATAAATTGGAAAAAGTGTCACAATTAGGAGATCTTCATTGCAGAAGAACTTACAGTTTAACTAAATTTGATAGATTTCCATAAGCAGCAGGAATTTCAGCACCACTGAAATTGTTGTTATCAAGTTGACTGCAAGAACAAAGCAAAAAAATAAATAGATGTAGATGTGTTAGTGCACAAATCAGTCCATTATATGACAAGTAATACAACCAGAGTACATTACTACAGAACTAGAAAGCGGACTAAGAAACCTATGCATGCCTGCTATCACTGAAAAAGAAAGCTTACAGGTCAATGTTAAGATTATGGCACGTTGGAAAAGTCAGGAAATTATTTTGATTAAGGATGACATAATAATAGTAGGAGTGTCTATCTTTTCCTTTTCCTCTTCCTTAAGGAGGAGGTCTTTTGGAGATACATCTTCTGATCAGAGCTGCATCTAGCACATAACATGATCTGAGGTGACCTCAAGGCTAACAGTGTTGGATGCATTATGGTTCAACTAATGCCATGCATAATAAAGTTCAGAAAACAAAGAATTCAAGTAACACAAATAAGATGCCAATACTTTTAAGGGCATGAGTATCATTTTGAATATGGCATTTACATCGGATGGTGGAAACTCACAGTATGGACAATTGCGGAAAAGTGGAAAACTCTGAAGGAAGATACCCTGATAGGTGATTATTGTCCAAAAGCCTGTAGAAATTAAACAAGTCCATTAAGAGCAAATTTTAGCAGACAGATTATACTCTGTCCAACACACACAGAGAGAGAGAGAGAGTATTGACGCACAAGTGAACAACTGTTGTCAAGTTAGAAAGTTCAGGAGGGATTTGACCACTGAGCGAGTTATTGTTGAAGTGACTGCACATGTCAGATGTATGCAAGTTACTAACAAAGATGAAGAGCCAAACATGTTGGTTTCAAGATACAAATAGGTAAGAAGCGCTCACATGTGTTTAATTCGATGCAGATTTGAAAAAGATTTTGGTATTGACCCAGATAACTGGTTTTCGTCTATCTGGAACCTATCCAGATTTGATAGATAGCCAAGCTCATCTGGCAAAGAACCTGATAATTTGTTTCCATTCAGGAGCCTGCAGTAACAACATAATTTCATCAAATTTTAGGGGGCACCCATTCATCTGACACTGCCCTACCTATACTTGAAGAACCAGTTGATTATGCACCAAAGGGATCATACATATTCAGAACATCAGTAAAACCCTGATACCATGCACGTCTTCTAACAGACAAGAAAGAAGCTCGAAGGTGCAAGGTCCAAGCTAGATTTTGGCAGCTAGGTTTTAGTCGAACTATGACTTAGAAGGTTCTGCTAGGGAATGGGAACGTATCATTTTAGTCTCTGCAATTTACGTGTAATTAATATTTACATGAAGAATAACTGAGCATCTACTCAAAGTTACATTGAGAGTAGCAGCTACAAACATTTCACACAGGTAAAGCCAAATCAAATAATCCAAGCTGAAACTGAAAATTTCAGTTTTCTGAACACAGTGTAATTAGTTGCTACCGGCTGCCTAAGTTTCTGGGCACCAAACTCAATGCATGAAAAGCAGAGTACACGTGTCTAGTATGAAGAGGCAAAGCAAATGTTGTAAGGGAAGACGAGCAAAGTAGTTTTTTTAGAGGAAGCATCCGAAGTCAGGACTCACAGAAGTCTCAGCGACGCAATATTTCCAATCTCCTTAGGTATGCTGCCAGTCAGGTGATTCCACATAAAGTTTCTTCAGACCAAGGGAGAAAAGTAAAGTGAAGCGTTAGACTATGCAGAAAGTTTGGGAATCTAGAGCGGAATTTGCAAGACTTAACAGATGTAACAAAGCAAAACTGCCACTCACAAGATGTGAAGTTGAGATAATTGACCAAGCTGAGGGGCTAAAGTTCCAGAGAGATTCTTATTCATTAGGAGGCTGCATTAGAAGGAGAGCCCAGTTGAAGGTTGCAAGAAATAGTGTACCAAAAATAGGAACTAGTAGCGAGAAAGAAAGAAAAAAAAAACATACAGCACCCTGACATGAAAGTACCCATCTGCTCCAAATGCATCAAAACATAGAACTCCGGTCCAGTTTTTTATGCATGGATCTCCTTTCCTCCAATTCTCGAGAACATTGTTGGTATCAATTAGATTGATGGCGATAGCATGCAAGGCCGAGACTGCAACGATAAAGAGATCAACGTAATGCCCAAGAAATGAGAATTTAAATCTCGCATAAGTTTACCTTCAGAGGGATGAGTACGTTGGGCAAGCGCAAGCAGGCCGGGGGAGCAGCAGCAGCAATACAGCGACACAGCAAACACTATTGATACTATCATACTAGTAGTACAGATACAAGATGCGGACCACCCCAGCATCATATCACGGCCTGCAAAGACTTTCTTTCTTAAAAAAAAAAAAAAATAGTAAGTACTATCCAATTAATAAGTAGAAGAAGGGCAGTAGGAAAAAGAGCAATTCGTGGTCTCCGTCTCAATACTAGCGTGAATCAGTAAATAGTAATAGCTCAATAGGAAAAAGCTCAATATACAAGTACCGGTCAATCAGTAATAGCGCAATACTACTAGTAACAGGGTAAAGGAAAGTAATCCGATCCGATCAAATTTAGTATTAGGAATGGCGTGATGGGAAGAAGGAAAACCTGAGCCGATATTGGCAACTTGTTCAATGTTGGTAGCAGCACTACACTAGCTAAGAGCCTTAGCTTAGAAGGACGAGGCAGCAGGTAGAACAGAACAACATAAAATGGAAGGAAGCAGAAAGTCAGAGCAGCCAGCGCTCTGATTCTGGGGGGTGGTGGAGCAAATAAGAGTAGCATTATAATACTGCTACTACTCATACTTAAAAAATTTTCATTCAAAATAAAATTCCGACAGCATAGAGTGATAATGATGATTAATCACCAGAGCAGCAGCAGTTAAACTTATAAAAAAAAATTTTAAAAAAAAAAGGATAAAAAAGAAAGGAAAAAAGCATACCAGGAGGCGAGGCGGAGTTCGTAACTGGGAAAAACAAGGAGGGCAGAATGAATTTGAGATAGAAACTGCGTGTGAATGGCGATGATATTTTGGGGAATGGGGAAGGACGAGGTTTATTTGATGCCGAAAACCCAAAAAAAAAAAAAAAAGGAATGTTATTTTCATTGGGAGTATTTTCTTTTTTTTTTTTTTGTCCAAGCTAATAACAGCAAAGCAACAGCCAAACCGCCGTGGCGAGTGGGGTGGATTGGACTGGGCAACTAACTGCGTCCACAGGCGGCGGTGGATTGGATAGTGGAGGTGTGGTGTGAAATGGATGGGCTGAACTGAACATTGGTGTCATTGGACGACGATGAGATGATGATGATGATGACGACGACTATACATTATTGGACGACGAGGACCACAACCATGACGACCAAGACCTGCAAATCTGAGGTGAGGTGAGGTGTTTTTTAAATATTTTACTACAGCAATTTTTCAAAAATTACCGATGTTGTCTGGATTGCTGCGTATGATAAACTCGTTATTAAAAAAAAAAAAGCTATCCACTTGGATTGACCTATATTTAAAAAATAAGTATTTTTTCTTTTAAATCACTTTCAAGCTACTAGCTGCCTGTATTTTCAGAGATGAATAGGCGTGCGTCATTTTAGGGTTTAAATTTCCACATGATTACAGTAGTATTATTGTCTTGGGAGAGAGATTCTGATTTTTTTGAGAAATGAATAACATAACTTCCATAAGAAAAAACCAGCTTGGACATGGCCATTCATATGAGTCTTCCACAAAAACAGACTATAAATTCTTAACGCCTTTAGACTCGCCAAAGAGCAACAAATGGATAAGGGGAAAGTGCAGTGGAAATCAGCCGAAGAAGATAATTGGGTGTGAAATACAGCAAGTTTTTTTTTTTTTCTTGGCTCAAATGATGTCGTTCGTATACAGTGAGCAATGTGGACTTATCAATATATTAGGAGGCGAACACCCCACGATGCGCGGTGTAATTTCAAGGTTGCCCAGAAATATCCAATAATTCAAATTCAAATATTAAGTATGAAAAGTTACAAAAAAAAAAATACACCAAAAACTTTGTCATTTTGTTTTTGTAGTTTTATTAAGCAGTGAATATGAATAATCTATTAAGGAAATGCAAGACAAGACAATGAGTAGACTACTAAGAGCATTAAGATGCTCCTCGCTTTTGTATAGAATGAAAATAAAAATAAAAAAAAGACACATGCAATGGAGGAGAAGAGGAAAAAATATAGCTCGAAGAATTACATAAAGTGAGTTGTTAGTTCCTAAAAAAGACATTTAATAGCTATAAGTTTGTTTTTTTTGTTGATAAAAACCACAAATCAAGTTGTCAGTTCCTAGAAAAGAATATTTAACAGCAATAAGTTTCCTTTACAATATATTCAAACGAATAATAAAATGCATATACATGCAGTATAAAAAAGAAAATCTACTTAGGGAGACTAAACCATATACCAGTGCCAATTGAACAAATTGACAAAGAAAAGAAAAAAGCATTTCTAATTGGCCACAAGCAAAATGATTCTAAACTTTCAACGACTAATAGCATAAGAGAGCTCCAGCTTCATTCAAACTCTCCTCTTGTTCCCGTGAAAGGCTGAAAGCAAATACCTATCCAGTAGTGAACGATGGGTTTAGAAAAACTTCTCTATAGACGAAACTCCAAGTTAAAAGCTACAGACAAGAAGCAATGTCATAAACCAGATTACCAAACATTTGAACAAAAAAATCCTCAAGAAAATATCATAGGAATTTGAATTTCTATGGAACACTTAATTCTGATCAGAAACATCAAATTTTGGAGAAGAAAAAAAGCAATTTATACCAACCTATAATAATAGTCTGAAAGTCAAAATAAGCAAATAAATAAGTAAAAGGACAAGACAGTACCTCAGGAGAAACCAAAAGCAATGAGATCTGACAAAATTTCTTGATGATATTAATGCAAATAACCCATGAGCATCTTCACACTTCTACTTTTAATGTTCTAAACAAAAGAACAGGAATATCTCAAGAACCGAAAAAGCAACAAAGACAATCTTAACCAAAGCCAGCAAGAATAATTAAACCCAGCAGCATAATGCATCATCAATGGAACAGTTAAATCAAATAAAACTTGGATCTTCAGACATATTCAAAGTGTAATACATTTGAAATTATTCTACCTAAAGCAATAGTAGAAATCCAATTTTACTTTCAAGCTCTTACCATCTATAATGAGTCAATCAAAATCCAAATTTTCAATCATTCTAATAACTAATTCTACAACCATAGATGCAACTCACACAAATTTTTCTCCAAAAAAAAAAATCGCTTAGGACTATATAATTTTATTATATCTCCTTAAAACGAGTGTCTCCTTGATCAGCCCCAGTGCTTTTATTAGCAACTACGAAAACACAACGTTTGTTGAAAAAAAAAATAAGAAAACACAAAAGTATTTTTCTTTTTGTTTTAAAGAATCCATATACACTGTCCGGAAAATGAGAACCAAAACTTCACAAGGAAAAAAAAAAAAGAAAAATAGTTTTCTCAAAAATAAAGACATGAAAAAATAACTAAAGTTTTTAACCGTCATTGACATGAAATTTAATCTCCACAAATGGAGACTTTGGGTTGGTTACCATATGGATTGTCTTTTGTGAGTCAATAATTGAACGTACCCCTACATATAACAAACCAAAAAAAAAAAAAACCATCAGATGAGCCATGAAAACTCCATTTTCCAGAGTTTCTCGACAACCTTTTCCTTTAGTTTCTCTACCAAGTAATTTTTCCATATATAATAAATATCATACAAGTTTGTACAGGGGGCTCTAGAGACCCAAAAGAAAGAAACAAGTAACATAGAAACTACTTAAAAAAGAGTACAAAAGTTAAAAAAAATGAAAAAATAAAATAGAAAAAACCTAAGATGAAGAAGGACGAAACCCAAGGAAGCAAAATTGCCCGCAATGTTTCTTTGTGATGATCTTCTCTTGGCTGCATCTGTCTTGTGAGAAAGCATGGATAAAGAAATAAGGAACAATATAGGCAAAATTTAGACATTAACCAGGTGAAAATTTTGGGGGAATAAAACCAATAAATATAGAAAGGAAACAAAGATTAAGAGGCAACAAAGAACCATATAGTTTGGAGATAGATTCTGCAAATTTCCTTGCTTCTGGAGCTAAAGAAGATCAAGCAGAGAGAGAAGATCTGGAACAACCCTATTATCCTACAAAGGGAAAAAAAAACCACAACAAGCCACAATGTTAGACAACTAAACCGGAGAACAAAAAGGGGAAAAAGGCTAGAGAAGTTTAGGCAGGGGAGGAAAGAACAAACCCTTTAAGCAATGAGAATAATCTTCTTGGAGTATTTATATGAAAAATCGTAGGCAAGACACATTGCAAAAGATTTTTCCATATCTAAACCTGCAATATCACAACAAATATAAAGTTAGACAAGAAAACCCTAAAAAAAAAATCTTTTAAAGACTACCGTATAACCACCAAGCAATAAACAACTTGAAGAAACCAACTGCATGTAGTTCTCTTTATGAACTCCTCTATTTCTTTACTAGTCATAATGCACGCAAAAAAAAACCAAAAAACAAAATAATCACCAAATGATACCCAATAGTCATAAAATTTTAAAAATGAAAAAGAAAAATTCACAGCCAAGAAATATCTACAAAATAACAGGAAGCAAACCTTAAAAGTCACTCGATTACCATGCAAATGCTTAATTTTTTTTTTTTGTTTCCCTTCCAGAATGATTTGACGTAATTTTTTTTGGGTTGATCTTGGTAGTCAAAGTGAAAGCATTGAGAGAGAGTTAATTGCAAAAGAAAAAAATTGGAAAGCAAAATCCACCAATAATGTTTATTGACAAAGAAGAACTTCCAAGAAAATCTAGCATATCTGGAAGCTACCCGGAAAAGATTGCGAAAATGAGAAGAAATGGGTGTTAAATTGGAACATTGTGATTGATCGGTTTCGAAGAGAAGGCTGGTTACCTTGAGGAAACTTGTTTGCTCAGCATAAATATTTGTCAAAAGACAAGAGAGGAAAATGTGGAAATAGATTGATGGGAGTGGTTACCTTGAGCCCTTTAAATTGGAGTGGTCATGATCCCATCAATCCTTTCACTATAAGTAGGGATGTAAGCGAGCTGAGCTATTCACGAGTAGCTCGCGAGTAGCTTGGTCAATGGCTTGGCTTGAACTTGGTCAAACCGAGTTCGAGCTACTTCGAGTACACATTCGAGTCGAGTTCGAGTCAGAATTTTGCAACTCGTGGCTCAACGAGTAGCTCGTCAAGCCATATAATTTAAATAATATATATGTATTATAATTATAAAATGACCGTTATGGGTATAATTTATACTGAATTTACAAGTAAGGTATCGAGTCAAAAAACTTGATTACTCGACTCGATAAGGCTTGATTAAAGGTCGAGCTTTATCGAGTCGAGTCTCGAGCTTTTAAAGATTTCCTTGAGTCAAGATCGAGTTTGAGATTTTTCGATTTGATCGAGTTCGAGTCGAGTTCGAGCCAAGTTATTTATAGGTCGAGTCGAGCTCGAGTATAGCAATACTCGAGCTTGACTCGACTCGATTACATACCTAACTATAAGCCAAAAAAATATTCAGAAGACACACACACACACGGAGAACCAAAGAATGGCACGAGTATTTGGAAACCAATTTAATCAAAACCAAAGGTCCTCATTCTTGGACAACAACAAGAATTCCATTTCTCCTCCTAGCGAAAGCACGCGAGTCCCACGTGATTGACGACCAAACTCCAGCCCATAAAATGCAGCCACATCAGCACAACAACTACCATCCTTAGAAAACCCATTCGCGCTTTTACTATATATATAGGTAGATTAACATAACTCAAGCCTAGTTTTTTAACTACAAAAACAATGAGTGTGTTTGGATTGTAAGTTATTTCCCCAAATATATTTGCTTACATCACCATTATAATTTTTAATACATCTTTTTATCTTCCCAATTACCTTTTTATCTCACATACATCACATCACAAAAAAGTGTTACAGTAAAAATATCTCAAATAACTTACAATCCAACACACTAAATAATATTTCATAAATTTTGGGGGATCCAAACAGAGCCGAATCATTATTCAATGTTGCACAAAATCGAATCTAAACACTTAATACTGAATAATGAAATGTATTATTCTTCTTAGCCCTTTTGATTAGGGTCTCTGCAGTTATATAAAGTGGCTGGATAAAGGTACCTTTTACTTTCTGTTGCATTATGACTAAAATATTTGGAAGGGTTAAAAGTATATACTTTTAATTGTTTAGAAACTACATTGAAATAAAATTTTGATTGAAATCCAAAACTTGACAATGAAAAT